ACAGCACCCAAACTAAAATGCTGTCAGCAAGTTGGGGATACATGTTTCACATCTCGGGATGAATGTCGGGTTGAAAGTAAGACTTTTATGTTCTGCACAACATTCATCAAGTATTTGTGATCCAGAGCAGAGTACAAGTCTGTGTCCTAGTGATGTAATGCCGCAGTGTTGATTATTATTCTGTTACCCAAACAAATCTTAGTGCTATTTTGAGGAACAGTATAATGAAACCATCATGTTCAGAATCTCTGGTTGCACTTCTATAATTTAGTTTTGGAGCATTCTGACATGTTTAATGTTTTTCTGTCTCTTACTCTTCTCTCTCTCTCTTTCCATCTGTCTGTCTCTTTGACTCTCCCTCTCTCTCTGTCCCTTTTTCCCTCTGTCTGTCTGTCTGTATTTTTTTCTTTCTCTCTCTCTCTCTTTCTCCCTCAGTCTCTCCCTATCCTCTTCTCACCATACTATCTCCGCACACTAGTATCTGATCCCAAACCACACTTTGTACATGTGTATTTTCAGTTTTAATCAGAGATTTTATACAAAACCTGACAATAACAGTGCTTGGTGGAGGTTTAATATCATATTCTACATCACAATGTTAGCTTCCAATCAAGAAACAATCTGACTGTAGACTGTAAAACCTAAATCTTAGACTGCTTTACTTCCCACCTGAACAACCTTAAAATCAAAGAAAAAAACAAAATACTGTAGGAGTTGGAAATCTGAACAAAACACAGAGAACACTGCATTCAGCAACTCAGAGAGCGTCTTTGGAGCAAACAGACCAAATGTTTTCAATACCAAAAATGCCTCTTATGTTATTTTATTTAATGTGAGGTAATCTTCTTCACTTCACATATAATTATCTTTGCCTAGGGATAACCCATTTCAAGTTCCATCCAACTGCCTTGATAGAGGGCATCATATCACTTACTACTCAGTCTATCCCAACAGGTGACTCAGTCTGTTGAAGCAGTCATGCTCTTAGTTATGATAGAATTAATAAGAGGCTTTCTAAAATCCATCTTTTTTTTCTCATTAACTGCATATATGCCTTTTACTCAAGGAAGTGGGGGGAACTAAAGTTTGTTTCTGTCATTGCCAATGAAAGAATGTACATTGGTGGTGTAATAAGAATATTAATGATCACTTCTTCATCACCTCCTGCTAAGTTAAACGTACCTACGATCTGAATGCTACCTCTTTGAAAGATGGTCAGAATCCAGAGTGTGGAATTCCCTCTTTAGATGGCACGTTAGGAGGGAGACTAAGCGCTGCTCTCCTGTTTCTTTTTTCAGCCACTGCGTAATCAGAAACCAAGTAAACAAGTGGGTGCAGCTGAGACCATTCATCCACTGTTTTTTAAATTTAAAACTTAAAAGTGTTTTTTAAATTTGCTTCTTATGGTTCAGTTTGATCTGTCCCTGCTGGAGGAAAGTCAGACCCTGTCCCACTTCCCCACTCCATCTCTCTCCTTCCTCAAAGTGTCATTGCTGAGGATCAGCTATTGGAGTAGAGTTGACTCTTCTTTTGATGCCTCCGTCCTTCTCTTTGTAATCCATGAGGTTGATATCAGAATTGTGAACTTGTATCTATCGAGAAGGGTTTAACAAGCTGGAGTTTTTCTCTCTCTGGAGGAAATAAAAGTGAGAAGTGACTTGATATCTATAATTGCCAAGAGGTTTTCTAAGGTAGACCCAGAGAAGATGTTTCTAATTGTATGGGAGAGCAAAACTAGGGAGTCATAAACGTAAGATAGTCATGTATTAACCAATAAAACGCACTTGCCTCAAGTGTTGAGACTGTTGAACTTGCAAGCATGTGATGATTTTGAGGGAATTTAAAATATCTGAGAGAGAGAAAGAGGCAAAATGATCAGCTGAGGAGGGGGAAAGCTCCTGTAATCAGGAACCCACCAAGCAAGGAAGTGGAGCCCCTCATCCTGTGATATTTGTATGTTTGTGATGTTACTGACTCAGCATTGATGGGCCACAGAGGGCTCCTTAATACCTATCAGGAATAAGTTTCTTCCTCACCGCAACCCTGTCAGATTGGCTGGGGGGGTGGATATAAACACTGCTGGTTGAATCATTCTGGTGGCTGAACACTTCTGTGATTTGACAACCCTCGAAAGCAACAAAATGGAAAGGCTTTTCTTCTTTTAAACTAATGTGTGGCCTTACACCGTTCCCTTTCTGACTTAGAACAAAAGCACTTTGAGATGGCAGATGGAAAATCTCATCAGAAACCAACAGCGTTTTTACTTTAACTGCCTTCACACCAGCAAATTACTGCTGGTCCTGCCTTGTGAAAGAGGCTAATAGTGCTGGTGGAGAGACAGAGAGCATGCACAAGAGAATATCTCTCACTGTCTCACATAATGCAAATGTCTTGATGCTGAAGCAGGTGTGAACTGTGGTTAGTTAGCCTTTCAAAGCTTTTGAATTGAAAGCTTTTTATTATGTTTGGGTGAAATTTGACAGTCCCTGATTTTGTGCATGGCTGCTGACTTTTTTTTTGCCCTGTAAGTGACAAACGTGGGACTGTATTTTGGCCTTGATGATTTTCGTGATTGTGAACAAAACAATTTTTTTAAACATTATGGTTATAGTTTCAGACAAGAACACAAAAGGAGCAATTTATCAAAAGATTTATTTTTCAAAACTGTGACTGTTATACGTTGGCCTCTAACTTCAGAAGCTATCTGGTGTACTCCATCACTGAGCTATGTAAAGAAACTCACTGAGTGACAAACCCTTCATTCTAAGACTCTGAAACATCCTATACCAGACACACTTCAATTCTGATGCACCCTCAGTATTCCCTCATTAGATAGTATCCACAATTACTATCCTTAAAATTATTATCCCTTTGTGAAAAGGACAGTGCTCAATTTCTGAAACTAACACAGGTGAGTTGGGAGGTCAAAATATACACACCATCCTATTTATCTTTCCTGGAATTTTTGTTTTAAGCATTTCCTAGAGAAAGTATTGGATTCACAAGCACGAAGATTGACCTTGATCAGTGATTCTAAATGAGTGTGTGGGAAAATTTCTAGCTAAATTGTTTTGTTTCCATCTATTCCCACCACGCCCCCAACACACACACACGCACTCACACACGCGCACACACACACCAACCCACCTACAAATATATTTCATAAGCCTAACAATAATAATCTTAATGTCTGGTATATACCTGACATGTATAATTTAAATTCCTGTATAAAATGTTCCAATTCATCATTTTTTTAAAACCCCACTGTTTTGCAGTAATTCTGTTGATGATATGTGTGTAAATTGTCCAAGACATAAACTATTGAAGATCAATATTGACTGTTAGTGTGTTTTGAGTGAATGATTTAATAGTTAAAATCCACTGGTATAATGCTGAACCATTCAGATTGTCTGAATCCCAGCTCTTGCTAAGTTTGTTAACTCAGCTGGGACATTGTGCATTCGTAAAACATAGAACAATACAGAACAGGAACGGGCCCTTTGGCCCGTGATGTTGTGCTGAACATGACGCCACATCAAACTAATCCCTTCTGCCTGCCCTTTATCCATATTCCTTCATCCCTTGCGTATTCATGTGCTTGTCTAAAAGTCCCTTAAACGCCCCTATCATGTCTGCCTTCATCACCAGCCAGTGATTCAGGTCAAACAGGGGACTCTAATCCATGGAATTCCACTTTTCAATTTGCCTTTTTATAAAGAAATTCCCTTAATGGGAAACGGACAGTGAGCTCAATGGATGGCAAGGCCAGAGTTTGAAACCACTATTTGCAATCAACAGGCTTCTAAGATAAAAAGTGAGCAGGTTAAAGGAATGAGGGGTCAGAAGGAATGTTCACAGTGTTGAACAAGGGCCCACAGGTCACAACAACTCAGCTGAATGTGAGCAGGATGCCCCACGAAGCACTGGAATCCAGAGGGCAGGTTTGATTCCTTTCCCTCTCGGCCTCATCATTAAGACGGTTGAAATCCAAGCTCAATGCAGCCTGATGGATGGGTTGTCGCCATTCAGGACAATTAATGTCAAAGCTGACATGCTTCAAGAGGCGTTCCAGAGTGACCTGGACTATGCATCAATGACATATATGAACACTAGAGGAATTATGGTAGGGATGTCTCCAGATTCAGTGGGAGAACCAGCAAAGAAATGCTACTCTGATTTTGAAGACAGCTCTACAAATATTTGGGCAAAACTCCTGCAGAATCAACTTCAATTAACTAGACACTCAAATAGTGCCTCCCTCCCAGATCTTGTTTACTCAACCGTCAAATAACCACCATTCTAGGAGAGGACAAAGAAAGCACTTCAAAGAGGTAAAGTGCAGGCAATGATTAAATTTAAATATTTCCTCTGTCAATTGCATACAGTTTCACAACTCTGGTTCCTCGCACAAATGTCCAATTAATTCGAAGAGCAATTGTAAGCAAATGAAACCTTACCATGTCTTCATTCCAAGATCTACTTTACACTGGATAGTCACTGGATAACTGTGAGGAAAGGGAAACTTAGAAACTTGTCTTGCTCCCCGCCCCCCTCATTCAGTGCCAGTTGGCAATGGATGGATATGCACCATTCTTGATACTTGAAATTTCAAATGACAGATTTGATGATTTTTAAAATGCTTTTTATTGTGTCAAAAACTTTCTGGAAACCAGTGGAGGGAGCACTTTGTGGCTGGATGGTCTAAGTTGAATGTTTCAATTCCTCTTCCACCAAACCCCGCCCCCTCTCCACCTTAATCAAAACAGTTGAGCCCACTGATTCAGTCGCTTCCTCAACGTTCTTCATGTAGTCTCCATCTGTTTCTAGACTTCATCTCTTGAACAGGTCCTTTTGATGAAGGATTCTATCTCTATATAATCTAAACTTAACCCTTCAGATGCTGCAGCGTCAAAATATCATCTTCAATGATGTTGAACGGTGTAGCAAGGTCATACCTACAAACACAGACCAGACGGTTGAATGGTGACTGGGAGTCCAGAACAAAAGGACAGAAACTTAAATTTCGAACTAGGCCACTCAGGGTGATGTCAAGACACATTTTCTCTCATAAAAGATTTTGGAAATTCAGAACTCCCCTCCCCACAAAAATAAATGGGTCGAGACCTCAATGGTGAATGAAAAATTTCAAACTGAGATTATTCTGGGATAAGGATAGCAAGGGGCAAGCAAACGAAATGGTGGTAAAGTACAAACTAGCTGTGATCTACTTTTCTGAAGAAGGGTCTAGGTCCGAAACGTCAGCCTTCCTGCTCCTCCGATGCTGCTTGGCCTGCTGAGTTCATCCAGCTCTACACCTTGCTTTCTGTGATCTACTTGACTGGTGGCATAAGCCCAAGGAGCTGAAAAGCCTTCTCCTGTGAGATGCATCGTGACATAATCAGAAGTAAGCAACATCTTTCAGGGGACAGTTAAAGAAAGAACATTGATATTCATCAAAAATCAATTATCATTTCAAGGCCGATTTATTCATTAAATAGTTGCATGGTTTTAAACCTCTATCAGACAATTAGCCTGGGGCCTCCAGATCACTTCCAGTAATGTTACCTTCTCTCCTTAAACAATGAAGGACAGAGAAATGAGACTATCGATAACAATAGTGGGACTGGCCTATTTCATACAAATTGCCTACAATGGAAATGTCTTTTATGTGTCCCTGTGGTAACTGACTACACCTAGTGGCTACTGTCTAGTTATCAGTCTGGACTGTGAGTAGAGGCAAAATATTCAAGAGGTAAGACTGAACACTCACTCCCAAATAACATACAAGGAGAAATATTTTGCATTTACATAGTGCCTTTCATGATCTTGGAGCATTTTCAAGCCGATTAAATCCCTCTGAAGTGCTATCACAGGTATAAAGTAGAAAACAAGCCAGTCAATTTGTGCACAACACATACTGTAATGTGATATTTTTATTAATGTGGATTTCCTCAGAAATAGAGGAACAATAGGTCAGTTCAAAGGCATTTAGGGATGGATAACAAATTCTGGCCTTGCCAGCTATGCCCACATCCCTTGAAAGAACATCGAAAATAAAAATACTATTGGTCAGGGCACCAGGACGAACTCTGCTGCTCTTCAAAATTGTGGCATCGGAGGGAGAAATGAGAGGGAAAATGGGGGGCTCACAGCACAGCATTTTCTCCAGTGGAGCACTCCCTCAGTATCGCCCTATCTTGGTGCAACCTCTAACAGTGAAGTCTCCATCGTGACCCTCTGTTGTTCTAGGAACATGGGGCTAGTTTATGAGTTTGTCTCAGCACAGCTCAGGAATCAAATATGTGGCCGTTCCATGCTGCAGAATACTGATGTTACGCCCAGCTGCAACGGCTGAAATGAGGAGACCTATAGCATCATGTGGTCAAGTCAGCTGACAATACAAAGGTAGGTGGGGAGAAAAAGGAAGCTGTGGGGAGGACACAAAGTGGGTGTGAAGGGATGGAGGGAGTGGTCAAGAGCATGACAGAGAGAATACAATGTGGAGTAATATGACGTTGTCCATTTTGGGTGGAAAAACAGAAGACTTTTTTTTATGTGACCAGCTGGGAAATTTGATATTCAAAGGGACCTGGGTGACCATGAATCTCTGAAAGTTGAGATGCAGGGACAGCATTTCATTAGTGAGGCAAATGGCATGTTAGCCTGCATTGCAAAGGGATTGCAGTTTCAGAGGAAAGAATTGTTACCAAAAGTATAGATATATTTCCAAGTCAGGATGGTTAGGGAAATTTGCAGATGGTGGTGCTCCCATTAATCTATTGCCCTTGTCCTTCTAGATGGTTGTGGTTGTGGTTTGGAAGATGCACATCCAATCTTTAGTGAATTGGATTGGCACATTTTTAGGCATCAAAGGGAAATAAAGAATATGGAGATAGTGGGGAAAGTGAAGTTGGGGCAGAGATCTGCTATGCTCATGCTGAACAATGGACCAAATGGTGTAGTCCTGCTCCTATTTCTTAGGTTCTTATGTTCTAAGTTATTGATAAATTCTCAATCATGATTTTTCTTTCCATTGAAGAGTTAGAATGGAGTTTGCAGAGTAGCCTGGTTTATCCCTGTGGATTCAACTGGTGTGGAATTGGTGGAAAATACTTGTTTCCCATTCACACTAGCGTGCACTTTACCTTTTGAGTGGTCGTCCATCCAGGTCAACTAAGAATTTCTCAAAATTCCAGCGAACATCACTCACTTTCAGTGGTGACCAGTGCAACCTTGTTTGGTCACCAATGACAGGGTTCACAAAGGGACATGAAACCTAGGGCGGAAAGTGAAATAATTCTTCAGAGGCCGGCATCCCATCACCAATCATCCTTTAATCACAAATGCGTAGGCTTTGACAACAGCACTGCCTCTCACTCAGTCAGGCATTCAGGGGTCCCAATGCCCCTGGCATTCAGCCATTTATGTCAGCCCGGTCTTCCTGATTGGACCAGATTAACAGTCCCAATTAGGGAACTCATTTAGAGAGATAGCAGGAACTGCAGATGCTGGAGTCAGAGTCAATACAGTGTAGAGCTGGAGGAACACAGCAGGAAGGGCAGCATCAGAGGAGCAGGGAAGTCAACGTTGCAGATTTACACCCTTCTTCAGGAAGGGTGTAAACCTGAAATGTCAACTTTCCTGCTCCTCTAAGGGAACTCGTATTCTATGAGTTGACTGACCTTGTTACAATCACGACAGAAAGGACAGCTTGCATTTATGTAGCACCTTTCACAACCTTCCCCCAAATGCCTGACAACCAATTTTTTTGAACTGGAGCCTCTGCTATAATGTAGAAAAACCAATTCATGCCTAGCAACCCCACAGCCTGACCTGGTTCCCCTTCTGGATCAGGCCGACTGGACTGAATGGCAAACTGGAGATAAAACACAAGAACAGATTTCGGCTTCCAGTACCGCCCCACCATCACTCTCCTCACTGCACATTCAAAGGAATTAATACAACTTGTAAAGATGAGAAACGGTGTTCAACAGGGAACATTGCTAGGAACACTGCCATTCATCATTTACATGAAAATTTGTTCTTGGCAGCTACCATTCTTTTGCTTTGCGGTGACATGGCACTGAAAACCAGGTGCTCCAGTTTCCTCCCACAGACCAAAGATGTGCAGGTTAGGTGAATTGGCCATGCTAAATTGCCCGTAGTGTTCAGGGATGTGTAGATGTGGTGGGTTATAGGGGGATGGGTCTGGGTGGGACGCTGTGAGGTTCGGTGTGGACTTGTTGGGCCGAAGGGCCTGTTTCCACACTGTAGGGATTCTATGAAAAACCTGTGTTTCTGTACATGTGCAGTTACTGCATCATCTAGTGGTGGCGTTGATAATAAACACAGTCACCAGGCTAATCAAGCAAACACAGAATAATTAAACCATTGAATAGTATGCTTTTTCATGTACCTTACACCACTGTTATAGGGTGGCGGTGGCACTAGTATACCTGATTCAGACACTGGGTAATGATAATGACAGTCCATACAGACTGTCCATTAATGGAGCAAGTTTAGAGACTGACTTACCTCCTTATTCGCACTCTTCCTCAATAATATGCGTGACATCCTCATGTGCAAACATTAAACAGGTTGGGATTCTAATCACTGGAGTTTAGAAGAATGAGAAGTGATCTCATTGAAACATATAGGATTCTTAAGGGGCTTGACAGGGTAAATGCTGAGAGGATATTTCCCCTCATGGGAGAGTCTAAGACCAGAGGGCATAGCCTCAAAATAAAGGGTCACAAATTTAAGACTGAGATGAGGAGGAACTTCTCTAAAAGGGTTGAGAGTCTTTGGAACTCCTTGCTACAGAGAACTGTGGTGGAGGGGAGCAGATGTGGGACAGAGTCTTTGTGTATACTTAAGGCTGAGATGATAAATTCTTGATCAGTTGGGGAGTAAAGGTCATGGGGAAAGGGCAGGAAAGTGGACATGAGGAATGTCAGATCAGCCATGATCCTATTGAATGGCGGAGGAGGCTCAATGGGCTGAATGGCCTACTCCTTTCCTATTTCTAATGGTCTTATGGAGACTGAGTAGATACACAATCTGAGTAACATTCAGACACAATGCAGAGACAGTGACCATAAACTTATCAGTAAGACCATAAGGAGCTTTTAGTACCCTAAGGGTCATTCACAAAAATATTATGGAGCAAACTGAACCATGAGGCAATATTAGGGCAGATGACTGATAGCTTAGTCCAGGAAGTAGATTTTAAGAAGCATCTTCAAAGAGGAAAGTGAGGGGGAAGAGGTTTAGAGAGGGAATTCTGGAACATTGGACATGGGCAGCCGAAAGTATGGCTACCAATGGTGTCGTGATTAAAATCGAGGATACTCAGTCTCAGAATTAGAGGAGTTCAGATATTGAGGTGGGTTGTGGGGGCAGAAGTTTACAGAGGTAGTGAGTGGAAAGGCAATGGAGCTGTTTGGAAACAAGGAGGAGAATTTTAAATCGGGGGCATTGCTTAACCAAAAGCCAATGTCAGCAGTCACAGGGCAACAGGTAAATAAGACCCTGGTTTCTGTTTCTGATTTATTGCCTCCTACCTCTTTCTCTGTCACGAGGGTACTAAGTTTAGGGAGTTGGACAGTTTGGGGGGGTGGGGTGCGTGGTGTGGGGGGTTGCCAGGGATGACAGAAGTGTCTCTTTGTGATTCTTCAGGCGACATGAGCATGGGGCACGCTTGATGGACTAACTAGTCACATCCTCCCCATTGCTATTGTATGTTTTAACATGGAGAGAGCAAGTTCACTGAGGCTGATCATCAATAACAGTCACTGAGTATCAACAAGACACTGGGCGTGAATGACATATAGGTGGAAAGGTCAACGATATTGACTGTTAATAATGTAACGGGTGAATTCTCAATGACACTGACCTTCAGAAATGTGTAGAGAGGATGCTCTTTCTCGCCATTCACCTCAATCTTGCCAAATATGGGAAATTTAGGAACAAAGCCCACTCCTGGACGGACAAACTTGAGAACATTCAGTGTTTCGTGGTCTTTCTCTAAAAAGGCATGTTTTAACATAGATCTGAGCACAAAGTTAAGCCCAGAATCTAAGACAGACAGAACAACATCTCATCTCAAAAAGCTTTTAATGATTGGATCAGGTAAAGTGTTAACAGTACTTGTTAAAAGTACAAGATAGAGCCACCAGCTGAATTGTAATTCCAGTTCAGGGTTGACATTGGATGTCAGGCTGGGCACTACAGTATTTACTTCAAGTGCTTAGAGTCATTCCTGTCATGGGTCCGCTCATTGTAAAGCCAATGATATTGTACACAATGCATTATTCTGCTAAGATGGAGATATATTTCTTTAAGACCGGGAGGTGTACTGTTAAGTGAGCTCAGGCTGCTTGTCCTGCTCCTATGATGCTGCTTGGCCTGCTGTGTTCATTCAGCTCTACACCTTGTTATCTCAGATTCTCCAGCATCTGCAGTTCCTACTATCTCTCAGGCTGCTTGTTGATTGGTTAAGAAACATTGCAGATTAAACAGCTGTTGGCAGTTTCAAGCTGTCAGTCAAGAAGCAGCCAGCAAAGGAGCACAATGTATTTGCTAAATACATTCACAATACTGGTAAGTAATTATTACGTGAAAATGCTGTGCAGAACACGCAGTTGCTTATTAATTCATTGTTGGATGAGGCCATCACTGACAAGGGTGACATTTATTCTAGGTGCTCCTAGATGCCCTGGGAAGATGTTGGGTCACCTCCTCTTACCAGCAAGTGGCATTAACACAACTCAATGGCTGTTTAAGCCATTTCAGAGGGTTGCAATGAGTCAACACCGTTGATACAGGACTGGGGTTGCAAAAAAGGTCAACCTGTGTGAGGGCAATGGGTTTTTTTTTCCGATATACATTTAGTCAGCCATGTGGATTTCTACCACAATCAGAATGCTTCATGGTCACTGTTATTGATAACAGTTTAGGTTAAAGCTCCATTAAATTTCTCAATTTTCCAAGACTCTCATTCAATGGGTTGTTAGTTCAGAAATATAGAGAAAAAAGGAGAAAGACTTGCATTTATATAGCAATTTTTACTAGATGTCTCAAAGCACTTTACACCATCAAGTAGTTTTGAAGGGCAGTCATTATTGTAAATTTGAAAAATGTGGCTGCCATTTATGCACAGGAAGATTCCACAAACCATGATGTAATGATGACCAGGTAATCTCAAGATGTTGACTGGATGATAAATATTGACCAGGATACCATGGATGACTCTCTGCTCTTCTTAGTGGACCTCTCACGTTCACCTGAGAAGGCTGATGGGGCCTCAGTTTAACGTCTCATCTGAAGCTCATCTTTACAGTGCAGCACTCCCACAGTACTGCACTAGAATGTCATAATTTATTACCACTGCACTAACTATATGTATCCCTGTTCTGAACTTTCACTGCTTGTTCTTATGATTGTTTGTTGTGTTTTTTATGACAACATTTACCAGTCAATTTTCCCATGTCAACGGTCACAATATGGCCGCAGGCACTGGCCACTTTGGCAATACTTTTTGGCACAAGTTGCAGAAACCTTTCTGACAGCTCTGTCACCACCTTGAAATTGTAAATGACTGGGATTCACCAACTGAATAGTGGCAAAGTCATTGACAATTTACCAACAAATACACAAGATTTATATTGTCAGGTCACCCTACAATTGGGGAACTGATGTATCTTTCTCACCTGGATCCTCTTGTCCAAACTGGTTACAGGGAAAACCCAAAACAGTGAATGGCGATTGGGAAAGATTATCCATCAGGGTGTTTAGTTTGTGAAACTGTTGAATAGAAAGCAAGAGGACAATTATGAGGGGGATGGCAATTGCAGCTTAGAGTCATAGAGGTCTACAGCACAGAAAAAGGCCCTTCGGCCCATTGTGTCCACATTAGTCAAAAATAACCACTTAATTAAACAAACTAACCTGACTAGCATCAACCTCATCTAGGTGAAATAAACCAAAATGATTGTCAAATGAGCCAAAATTGTCCTAAATCTAGCTATTCGTTATCCAGAGATTGATTTACAGGCAAAAACCTACTTTTTGTGTTGGATATATTGAAGCAGAAAGGGCTCTGTGGTGCTATGGTAGCATCCCTTCCCCTGGACCAGGAGGCCTGTGTTCAAGTCCCACCTACATCAGAGACATTTAATAACATTTCCAAACATGTTGATTAGGAAAAATAGGTTGAATAAAAATTTATATTGATGCAGAATTTGAGAAGTGATCAAAACCTCAAAATTTATTTTCTGTCTTAATCCGAATGTCATTTGGTTGTGGACATTAGTGACAAGGCCAGCATTGCCTGTTCATCCCTAATGGCCTTACAACTGAGTGGCTTGCTCAACTGTTTCAGAGGGCAGTTCAGGGTCAAGCACATTGAGCCCAATGTGTCTCCTATCTGAACCAGGACTGCAGCCATTAACCTGGATCCAGAGTCACATGTAGGCCAGACCAGGTAAGGACAACAGATTGCCTTCCCTGACAGGAAATTAGTGAATCAGATCAGTTTTTATGACATATAATATCATGATCACCATCTCAGAGACTAGCTTTAAATTCCTGACTTTTAAAACAAAATCAACAGAATTTAAGTGCAGGATTTGAGCATACATTACTAGGCCTCTAGATTTCTAGTCCAGTAACATAACCACTACACTATGCACGGTCTAGTAAAACATTCCATTGTGGCACACAATCAGCCTCGACACTGAACAACAGAGCTGCTCTTTTACCTGTGGTATCGTTGACTCTCAGAACGTGGCCAAGTTGGTAACCAGCAGGATCTTCCCTTGATACTGTTGCAGAGACACAGGAGCTCCATCCAATGTCTGAACTGTAAACTCATACAGAGAAGCAACTGGCACCTTCTGGGCAGAAAGTGACAGAGAACAGACTGACAGAGAACAGACTGGCAGAGACATCATGAGCAGTAAGAATAACTCGTTAGATGTTTCTGTCACTCACTCTCTTTCACTCCTAGTGCACCATCCCCCAGCTCCCCAGCATCCTGTGACAACTGATTATTCTGCCTCAGCACTAACAGAGATCTGTTATTGTACCACAATTGTCTGAGTTTCCTGCGCTCAGCACTCTGTCCTGATATGTACATTTCATTGGATAATCTTTGGATATTGTATAAACCTTATATATATGCATGGCATGGGTGGGCTGGGCCATGATTTATTGTCTATCCCTAGCTGCCATTGAGAAGGTGTGGTGAGCTGCTTTCTTTAACGGCTGCAGTCCAGTTTTAGCTGTGTGAATGGGCAAGAGAAAGATTAATGAAAGAGACAAAGAGTCAAGGATAGAGACAGAGATTGGCATTTCTACAGCAACATTTTGGATATGGTCAAAACCCTTCATTTATAATGAATTACCTTGAATTGCAGACATTGTAGGCATGTAGCTAGGTGCAGAAATCATATAGTATGTACAGCATTCTGCCATCTGCAAGGACATCAATGAGTAGCCAGTTTGATGTAGCTGATGTTGTTTGAGGGGAAAGAATTGGCCTGGACTCCTCAACACTTCCTAAAATAGTCTCATGGCATCTCTAACATCCATTTGTAACACTGGATCCCATTGTAATATTGACACACCTCAAATGAAGGCAAATCCAGCAACGTTGCATTCTTGGAGGGTGCACATGAAGGTTAGGGTTCCCATTCAGCTGGTGCCTGCCCTTTTTAGTCAGCTGCATTGATGTGAAGATACGCTGGTAGGCAGATGTGAATTCTGTTCAGGGTGACATGATGGCCCAGTGGTTAGCACTGCTGTCTCACAACGCTAGGGACCTATTCTATCCTTGGGTGACTGTCTGTGTGGAGTTTGCACGTTCTCCCTGTGTCTGTGTGGGCTTTCTCCCACAGTCCAAAGATGTGCAGGTTGGGTAGATTGGCCATACTAAACTGCCTGTAGTGTCCAGGGATGTGCAGGTTAGGTGGATTAGCCATAGGAAATACAGGGTTACAGGGATAGGGTAGTGGGTGGTTCTGCCTGGAATACACTTCAGAGGGTGGGTATGGACCTAATGGGCTGAATGGACTCCATTCTGTAGGGATTCTATGATTCTATAAATAGTCTGTGGACATTCTCTAGATCATCATAAGTAAGAACTGAAGTAGCAGAGAGTTGCCAAGAATGATGGCCTGCAGTGGAGGAGATGATGATGATGTAGTGGTAGTGTGGCTGGACTGATGATCGAGGAGGTAGGAGTTCAAAACCCACCACAGCAGCTGGTGAAATTTGGATGAAATAAAAAATATCTGGAATTTAAAGCTTGACTTGCAGTAATGGTGACCATGAAACTATCATCAATTGTCATTAAAAAGCCACCTGGTTCATTAATGTCCTTTAAGGAAGGAAATCTATTGTCCTTTTCAGATTTGGCCTCCATGTGACTTCAGATTCATTGCAATGTGGTTGACTCTGAACTGGCCAAGTAAGCTGCTCAGTTCAAGGGCAATTAGGGATGGGTAACAAATTTGGCCTTTTCCAGTGAGGCCCACAACTATTGGAAGAATACGCTTTAGACAAGCTAATGTTTTGAGTCTAGATGACTCTTCATCAGAATGTTGATTACGCTGTGATGAAGAGTCATTTAGACTTGAAACATTAGCTCGCTCTCTCTCCACAGATACCACCTGACCCGCTGTGATTTCCAGCATTGTTTGCTTTCAGCAGCTGACTAAAAAGATCCCAGCATCTGCAGCAATTTGCTCCGCCATTTTAAACAAAGCCAGTTGTCTCAGGACAATTTTGGAATTCTCCAACTGAGTGACTTAGAGTTTCTTTTTACAAACAGAGGCAACCATTAAGATGAGGAAATGTAAATGTACAACAGCCCACTGCCTCCTTGAGCTTCTTCACTTTATGAGAAAAATGCCAAACTATTGTCTTCTCCATGGTAACACACCGACAAGTTGCTGATGTGTTTTAGAAGTAATTCATCATTTTATAAACAAGTTTGCCTGGAGCCCTGTTTCAGCTGATTGAGGCTGTTCATGTTGCTATGCTCAAGACTTTCAGGCAAATTTGAGGCAATATGCTTCAAATTTGCTGGTTTGTGATGCTCACTCAGTTTTTATTGCTGACTCTGGAGCCTATAGTACACACCAGTGTTTCTGGAATGAACCTTTAGTATCAATACACACAGTGAATCCCAGAGTATTCCAGCTCTTTGTTCATAGAAAGTGCTGCATTGGGCTTTCTGCAGTGCCCACTCAGCAGCTTTCAGCTGACGTTTATTTCACTCATTCACAGTGCTTACCTCCTCTCCTAATGTTAATTAATCCAGCACTTAATCAAACCTTGACCTATTAGCAGTCACTAGGCAGCCCAGCTAATTCTGAATTACATTGTTGTGTGTCTAAATCCTATTTCAGGTGCTTGTGCTGTACTGAGGCAATGCAGCTTTATTAAAGGTGCTGATGTTTGGATCAGATATTAAACTGAGACCCTGTCTGGGTGTAAGTGCTCTCATGGCCCCATAGGGGGACAGTGGAGCACTCAACTGCGGCTTTTGTTTTTGGACTGCAGTCAATATCCAAGTGAAGGAGATAGAATAATTTGCACACAGCAAGATCCCACAAACACAGAGCTAACTTTGGTGATGCTGGTCGAAGGATAGGTGTTAATTCCATCCAAGAGCAAAGAAGTTAAAATGGTGCAAACCACTGTTAGGCCTCAATTGGAGAATTGCTTCCAGTTTTGGGCCACACTTTAGGAATCATATAATAAAATACATATATAATATCTAATTATATATTGTGTTGTATAATCATATGATATAAATAAAGGATAAAGTCACCTGCTTTAAGGCTGCTCTCTCAGTAGAGCGAGAGAAAGGCAACTGGTGGTGGTTTAATCTGAAGGTCACCATGCCTCAGGTGAGGGAAGAGGTTGAGAAAGAGAGTCCTTCATGGTGACCTCAGGCAGTGCAGGAATTGAACCTATGCTGTTAGCATCACACTGCATTACAAACCAGGCAACTGAGATAAACAGGAAGTATATGAAGGCATTCAAAAAGGTTGCAGATAAGATTAACGTTAATAGTTGAGGAGATGAGGAACCTCAGTTATTTGGAAATTGGAGAATTAGGAACTGTTTATCTTGGAGAAGAGAGGGTAAGGGAAAATTTGGTAGAGGCATTCAAAATCTTGAACAGTCTGGATAGAGTAGGTAGGGAAAACTGTTCTAAATGGTGGAAGGATGGAGAATTAGAAGGCACAGATTTAAAAACATTGTTAAATGACACAATAGAGATATGGGAGAGACACTTTTTCTTGTTTAAGATCTAGCATGTGCATCCTGAGAGTTTGGTTCAAATCACATCATGGCAACTAGAGGAATTTATATTCAATTCATCAATTTTGAACATTAAGCTGGTCTAACGATGACCATAACAACTATCATTAACCGCTGTAAAACCCATCTGGTTCACTAATGTCCTTTATGGAATGAAATCTGCCATCCTTTCCGGGTCTGACCCACAGCAATGTGGTTGTCTCTTGACAGCCCTCTGCAATAGTCAAGGAAGCCACTCAGTTTAAGGGCAATTAGGAATGGCAACAACCACATCCCCAAAAAATGACATCACGGCAATAAGTGTCAGTCTTGTCAGTAATATCCACAACCCATGGAACAAAAGATCTCGAATCAACTTTTGAAACTAATCTAAAAATATGAATACAGGGTTCCGAACAAGAGTCCTGTCCAGCTCGAAATATTAACTTCACTCCTCCCGCCACAAATGCTTTCAGACTTGCTGAGTTTCTCCAGCACCTTCTGTTTTTAATTCAGACTTCCAGCATCCGCAATATTTTGCTTGTATTTAAATTCTGCAATAATGTGCATAAATGCTCATATTGCACCAGCCAAACATACGACAGTTTTGATTCATTTATATGTATTTATAAAATATATATGTGTATATATAATCCTTAAATTTGAGAAACTTTGAGCTGGAGAATGTACCCATTACACAGGGATGTGACCTTCTTACCTGCTGCGTTACAGATAAAGGACCACAAGCTGCTGTTGGGATCAGGGGCCGCCAGAGGGCGGACTCAGCAGCGGGCTTGGGGGAAGCTGACGGCAGTGACCGCCGCGGCTCCTGGGCGGAGCCGAGAGGCGCTGACACCGGCCGGAAGTGCTGCGGTGAGTGTCATGGAGACAGGTGAGAGCAACAGGTGAGGAGTCACGGGCGTTTACAGCCTCCGAGTGGGTCAGACCGAGCGACAGCGGGGGCATACGGCCCGGGGAGGGAGAGAGGAATCTACCCCACATTGTAACCTTTTTCAGGGGGGAGTCTGTCCATTATTGTAACCCTTCCCGTGGATTGATGTCCCACACTATAACCCTTCCCCGAGGGAAGGACAGATGTCCCACATTGTTTCCCCTGCCGGGGGAGGTAGACAGAGATAGAGGTCTCACCCTCTAACCTTTCTCTGGGAAGTGATGTGTCCCACCATCTAACTCCTCGGCGAGATGGTGTGGGGAGAGAGGAGGATGTGTCCCACCAGGTAACCCTTCCTCTGGGGGTAATGTCTCCTGCATCACTACCATTCTGCCAGGGGCAGGAGATGTCTTATTCCCTATCTCCCAAACCAGAGGTGTGTACCACCTTTATCGCCTCTGACCTTTTCCCCAGGATGAGATGTGTTTCCCAGCCCTGGGCTGGGAATGTTTTGCATCCCCACCTTTTCTGCCTGCTAGGAGATTTCAGCCCCTTTCTGTGTTTTCTGGAAATTCAAAAAAATTGAACTGATAATGAGCCCTTTATGTAGGTTCTACCCTCCACCATATCTAACCGATGCAGGTGAAGTGTGGGTGTCAAACACATCTGAAATCCAAACAGCAAATGCTGGAA